GCCCTCCTGGCAGCTTTATGGGCCCGTACGGCTGGTGAGCAATCAGCCCCTTGGGGGGCTTTACTATCCTTAGGTAGGGGAATAACTTTTGCTTCCTTCCAGGCCTGAGGGCACACACTTTATAGTAGGCTTAAATTGAAAATATGGCAAATAGGAGTGGCAATATCGTCCGCTATTATCCTCAGTAATTTTCCGTCAAAGTTGTCAAACCCCGGTGGCTTGACATAATCTGAAACAGGTTGCAGGCACTAGTTACAGTTTGAAGTTTTCTCTTGAGTCAGCAGCCTGATGAAAGCCAGTCAATTTTTAAATCACCCAGGAAATATACCTCTTTTGATATCACAAACATTATCAAGCATTTCATACATGTTATCCAGATACTGACTGTTAGCACTTGGTGGTCTATAGCAGCTTCCCACCAGAATGGGCTTTAGGTGAGGCAGATGAACCTGTAGCCATTTACTTCAACGGTATTTAACATGAAATCCTCTCTAAGCTTTACAGGAATGTGGTTCTCAATATAAACACCCACACCGCCACCTTTGGCATTTCTGTCTTTTCTGTAGATCTTATAACCATGTATTGCTACCACTGTATCATCAAAGGTATTATCTAAGTGAGTTTCAGAGATTGTCTGCCTTCAAGCTGAAAATCTTTGCCAGTGTTTAGGCTACCTGCCCCTCCCCCTTCCAAAGCATAGGCTACTGTATTGGCATTACAATCTTGATTCAGAAGATCTGGAGAGTGATTTTTAATTAGCTAGAGAAGAATGGATTAACTTTAAAATGCTAGTTAAGGATACTATAGTCCTAGTTATCACGTTTCACGTTGGATTTATTAACTACGAAAAGGTAAGACGTGTTTTTAATTCTGGTGCAACTCTGCACACAGAAGCTTGTTAGCTAACTAGCTCAAGCTTGTTAGTTAACTAGCTCAATCTTGTTAGCTAGCTAGTGCAAAGGACATTCAAAGTTCCTCCATAGAAGCCGCTCTTCCTAGGTATACTTCTCTGGACCTAATTCAGATAATGCATGTCATTACAAGATGCCCAGCGCGTCATGCCTCCTCCTCAACCCTCTCTCACTCTCTCCCTGCCCACAAAATGTCTGTCGCATCTTGCGCCATAGGCAACACCTGTCTGTCCATCACGCATGTAAACAACTAGCTTGACCGCTCTATCCACACTGATTAGTGAAGTAATTTAATGAGCTACATGTACAAAACGGTTGATTTCACAGGTTAAAAAAGGAACAGAACGGAACAATGTAAATCACCAATTGTTTTCAATATTAGCTGTACTGGAGACTTTAAAACCTTTTTTTTGTTAGAACAGACTATATGGGATTTATTATAATTTGTTTGTATATTATTATTGTATTTGTTGTGCTGTTTATACTGTTAGAACGTTAGCTTAATTAAATTGATTAATATTATGGAGTTTCTTTTCCAAGAAAAACTAAAATGCATTTTACAGTAGCCTCCGGGTTTCCGTTAGGAAAATATGGCCTGTACAACGTGACCGGTCGGGAGTAGGGCTAGGCTACTAAGCGACTGCGAGTGAAGAGCAAATTATTCCTAACATTTCCCACAGCCTAATTGTAGGCTAACCAATACCCAAATGGAGATTCAGTGAAAATAAAAAATCGTATTGATTTATCAAGACCAGTCCCCATGCTTGTCTCAAAGCAGCGCGAAACGGTGCTGAAATAGTTGACGACACGCGGGTAGGCTATTGCTTCAAATCCTATTATAACATTTGGATGACTTTGGGTGTTTCAGTAAGCAACAATTTGTTGCCTTCAATTGCATTAGCCTACTTTATTCCAATATTTCTGTCATTCAGTGATATTTATTCCTATAGTAATTCGTTTATGGATCCATCCAGATGTGGTTAGAAAACAGTGCATGATGTTGGGTATGCAAAGAGATGGGTGATGTGACATGCCTCGCAAACATCCATTAATACATTTAAAGTCCCTAAACTCGGCAAGAGTCTATTGTCCTGCTGATAGCCTATCAAGAGTGGATGGCTTCTTTTGCATTCCAATTTATAAATTGAACACCTACATTAAATAGCTCAGGTCTTGAAAATATGTTAAACTTTTTTTTTTTTTTTTTATCTGTGCTTAGTAGTGGAAGCTTTATGGCTTCGCCATTAACTTGTTCATTTAGCAGATATCACTTGCGTATAATCATAAATGAAGATTGAATGTCATCCGTTGGGAGAGTTGGGAGAGTTTTTGTTCGGGTGGTTCAGTGAAACAATTATAGTTTCTGAGGTGGAAGTTTTGGTGAGGGAGGCCCTGCTCTCTCCTCTCCCTGATGTTTAGTTCATTTCATTCATGTATGTAAACTTACGACTTCAACTGTAGATGTGTGAAAGTTAGTGTATAAGCTAATGATCCATCATGTATGACATTCCTGGGAGTGTGTAAACTAAAATGTTGTATCACCATATCATTTTTGTATGTTCTCTATAGTTATGTACTTTAAAATGTATCAATTGACCAATTCAGCACATTTGGGCAGACTTGATACAAAATAGTCAGGTATTGAAATGCTTCACTGGATCAATCTGAAACTTTGCACACATGCTGCTGCCATCTAGTGGCCAAAATCGAAATTGTGCCTAAACTGCAATATTATATTGTGGGCTTTCTCTTGCATTTCAAAGATGATTAAAAAAAATAAAAGAAATACAAAAAAAAAAAGTTTTTGTATTATCTTTTACCAGACCTAATGTGTTATATTCTCTTACATTAATTTCACATTTCCACAAACTTCAAAGTGTTTCCTTTCAAATGGTATCAAGAATATGCATATCCTTGCTTCAGGTCCTGAGCTACAGGCCGTTAGATTTGGGTATGTCATTTTAGGCGAATATTGAAAAAAAGGGGTTAATCCTTAAGAGGTTAATCCATTTTAGAGTAAGGCTGTAACGTAACAAAGGGTGGAAAAAGTCTAGGGGTCTGAATACTTTCCGAATGCACTGTCCTTATCTGATAATAATAATAAGAAGAATATGCCATTTAGAAGACGCTTTTATCCAAAGCGACTTACAGTCATGTGCGCATACATTTTTACGTATGGGTGGTCCCGGGGATTGAACCTACTACCCTGGCGTTACAAGCGCCATGCTCTACCAATTGAGCTACAGAGGACCAAACACAAACAACACTGTAGGAATTATTTATCTTTCAAATGGTGTAATATTTATACAATTACAGTACCAGTCAAAAGTTTGGACACACCTACTCATTCAAGGGTTTTTCTTTATTTTTACTATTTTTCTACATTGTAGAATAATAGTGAAGACATCAAAACTATGTAATAACACATATGGAATCATGTAGTAACCAAAAAAGTGTTAAACAAATCAAAATATATTTTATATTTGAGATTCTTCAAAGTAGCCACCCTTTGCCATGATGACAGCTTTGCACACTCTTGGCATTCTCTCAACCAGCTTCACCTGGAATGCTTTTCCAACAGTCTTGAAGGAGTTCCCACATATGCTGAGGACTTGTTGGCTGCTTTTCCTTCACTCTGCAGTCCAACTCATCCCAAACCATCTCAATTGGGTTGAGGTCGGGTGATTGTGGAGGCCAGTTTATCTGATGCAGCACTTCATTACTCTCCTTCTTGGTCAAATAGCCCTTACACAGCCTGGAGGTGTGTTTTGGTTCATTGTCCTGTTGAAAACAAATGATAGTCCCACTAAGCGCAAACCAGATGGGATGGCGTATCGCTGCAGAATGCTGTGGTAGCCATGCTGGTTAAGTGTTCCTTGAATTCTAAATAAATCAACAACAGCGTCACCAGCAAAGCACCCCCACACCATCACACCTCCTCCTCAATGCTTCACAGTGGGAATCACACATGCGGAGATCATCCGTTCACCTACTCTGCGTCTCACAAAGACACGCGGTTGGAACCAAAAATCTCAGATTTGGACTCATCAGACCAAAGGACAGATTTCCACCGGTCTAATGTCCATTGCTCGTGTTTCTTGGCCCAAGCAAGTCTCTTCTTCTTATTGGTGTCCTTTAGTAGTGGGTTTTTTGCAGCAATTCATCCATGAAGGCCTGATTCACACAGTCTCTTCTGAACAGTTGATGAGATGTGTCTGTTACTTGAACTCTGTGAAGCATTTATTTGGGCTGCAATTTCTGAGGCTGGTAACTCTAATGAACTTATCCTCTGCAGCAGAGGTAACTCTGGGTCTTCCTTTCCTGTGGCAGCCTCATGAGAGCCAGTTTCATCATAGCGCTTGATGGTTTTTACGACTGCATTTGAAGAAACGTTCAGTTCTTGAAATGTTCCGTATTGACTGACCTTCATGTCTTAAAGTAATGATGGACTGTCGTTTCTCTTTGCTTATTTGAGCTGTTCTTGCCATATTATGGACTTGGTCTTTTACCAAATAGGGCTATCTTCTGTATACCACCCCTACCTTGTCACAACACAACTGATTGGCTTAAACGCATTAAGAAGGAAAGAAATTCCAGAAATTAATGAAATATATTTTGATTTGTTTAACACTTGTTTGGTTACTACATGATTCCATGTGTGTTTTTTATAGTTTTGATGTATTCACTATTAGTCTACAATGTAGAAAAAAAAAAACCTGGAATGAGTTGGTGTGTCCAAACTTTTAACTGGTACTGTTCATAATACAAACACATTTTCCCAGAAGTACAAACATATTAAAATTTTTTGCAGTTACAACACAGAGAAATAATAGTATTTCGTATTCATGTCATGCACACATGCTCTTTTCACAGAATATTTTCATAAAATTAACATTTTTGAGAGAGGATGAATTGTCATTAGCTGCTAATATTTTATGAAAATTACCAAAAGGCTTTGAAAAACGTTGTATATTACCATCCCTATGATGAAAATAGATATGGGATTATTTATGAATAGACGGCCAGGTTGCTTAAATTGAAAGGTCAGAGGTGATATTCTACTCTTCCTCCTTCCTGTAGGTGGATTCAATGTTCGTAGTGTATGCACCGCCGCCACCCGGCCCTCAAGGCCCAATGTCCAATGCCCCCTTCTCTCCACCCATCTCAAAGCAGCTGCTGGTGAGAACCAGATCCATAGGAACCAACACCCAAGAAGGAGGGCCAGACACCGACTCATGTTGCCTGGGCCCTTGTCAGCCAGGCACTAGTGTCAACCTGGAGGGCATTGTGTGGCATGAGACTGAGGAAGGTGAGGATTCTATTCCTCCAACTCTCCTACAATTTTAGCATTCCACCATATGGTTCAGCATGTACATGATTGAAATGCTGTACAGTAGTTTATATCACTGCGCATAGGACAGTTTATTCAGGCGAATTATTATTAACGGTAAGACAGTATGCCTAATTATGATCAGGTTTCCCAAACTCGGTCCATGGGCGCCAGAATGTGCACCCAGGTGGGGCCCCAGGACCGAGTTTTGAAACCCTGAGCTAGAAGATGCTTTTGTATTGAAGGCTGGTTTTTATTAAAGGAGCTATGCTGATGTAACAGTGTAACAGACCATGAGGGAATTCATCAGATCATCATTCATTCTGTTTTTAAGAGGCCTATTATTCCTGTCAAACTCGAATTTGAAGAGAAACGTTTTTGCCGTCTTATTAGAAAGCTATGCCATGGGACCTCCCTAGTAAGACTGAACCACCTTCTTTAGCGTTCGAGGGCTGCAGAGACGCCGAGTATCAAAGCTCAGGATAAGACCCAGATGCAGACAGTTCAAAATAGCAAAACGTTTATTTACAAAAACAGGGGGCAGGCAAACGACAGGTCAAGGGCAGGCAGAGGTCAGTAATCCAGAGCAGAGTCCGTAAGGTTCATGAAACGGCAGGCAGGCTCAGGGTCAGGGCAGGCAGAATGGTCAAAACTGGAAAACAGAGACTAGAACAAAACAGGAGTACGGGGAAAACGCGGGTAAGCTTAACAAGACAAGACGAACTGGCAACAGACAAACAGAGAACACACAGGGGATAATGGGGACAAATGGGAGATGCCTGGTGGGGGGTGGAGACAAGCACAAGACAGGTGAAACCAATCAGGGTGTGACAGTACCTGGGCACATACCTGGTTGACCGGGGTGCCGGCAGTGGAACTCAGCGATGAGGCCTGGGTCCAGGATGTCCCTAGCGGTGACCCAGCACCTCTCCCCCGGGCCATAAACCTCCCTGTCAACCAGGTACTGGAATCCCCTGCCCCGCGTTCAAACCTTCAGGGGCGCCTCACCATGTACGCCGGTTGGCCGTCGATGAGACGGGCAGAGGGGTGGGCCTGGAAACAGGAGACAAAGGGCTGTGAGACATGGGTTTGATCCTAGACACATGAAAAGTGGTATGTATACAGAGGGTACGGGGCAAAAGAAGACAAACAGCAGAGGTGCTAAGGATCTTGGAGATGGGGAAAGGGCAGATAAAATGGGGGGAATGTTTGCGGGACTCCACCCAGAGGGGTAGATCCCGAGTGGACAGCCATACTCTCTGCCCGAGACGATTCTGGGGAGCCGGGGTCCGGTGGCGGTCCGCCTGTCATCAATACCTGGAGGTGGTCTTGAGAAGAGCCGACTGTGCTCTCTTCCAGGTATGGTAACAGCGATGGATGAACATCTGGGCCGACCTCTTCCTCTTGCTCCGGGAAACAATTGTTTACAGACAGACCTTTTCACTTATAATTCACAGTATCACAATTCCAGTGGGTCAGAAGATTACAGACAATAAGTTGACTGTGCCTTTAAACATTTTGGAAAATTCCAGAAAATGATGTCATGGCTTTAGATGCTTCTGATAGGCTTATTGACATCATTTGAGTCAATTGGAGGTGTACCTGTGGATATATTTCAAGGCCTAACTTCAAACTCAGTGCCTCTTTGCTTGACATCATGGGAAAATCAAAATAAATCAGCCAAGATCTCAGAAAAAAATGTTTAGACCTCCACAAGTCTGGTTCATCCTTGGGAGCAATTTCCAAATGCCTGAAGGTACCACATTCATCTGTACAAACAATAGTACGCAAGTATAAACACCTTGTGAAGATGCTGGAGGAAACAGGTACAAAAGTATCTATATCCACAGTAAAACAAGTCCTATATCGACATAACCTGAAAGGCCTCTTAGCAAGGAAGAAAATACTGCTCCAAAACCGCCATAAAAAAGCCAGACTACGGTTTGCAACTGAACATGGGGACAAAGATCGTACTTTTTGGAGAAATGTCCTCTGGTCTGATGAAACAAAAAATAGAACTGTTTGGCCATAATGACCATCGTTATATTTGGAGGAAAAAGGGGGAAGGCTTGCAAGCCGAAGAACACCATCCCAACTGTGAAGCACGGGGGTGGCAGCATCATGCTGTGGGGGTGCTTTACTGCAGGAGGGACTGGTGCACTTCACAAAATAGATGGCATCATGAGGAAGGAAAATTATGTGAATATATTGAAGCAACATCTCAAGACATCAGTCAGGAAGTTAAAGCTTGGTTGCAAATGGGTCTTCCAAATGGACAATGACCCCAAGCATACTTCCAAAGTTGTGGCTTAAGGACACAGTCAAGGTATTGGAGTGGCCATCACAAAGCCCTGACCTCAATCCTATAGAAAATCTGTGGGCAGAACTGAAAAAGCATATGCGAGCAAGGAGGCCTACAAACCTGACTCAGATACACCAGCTCTGTCAGAAGGAATGGGCCAATATTCACCCAACTTATTGTGGGAAGCTTTTGGAAGACTACCCGAAATGTTTGACCCAAATTAAACAATTTAAAGGCAATGCTACCCAATACTAATTGAGTGTATGTAAACTTCTGACCCACTGGGAATGTGATGAAATAAATAAAAGGTGAAATAAATCATTCTCTCTACTATTATTCTGACATTTCACATTCTTAAAATAAAGTGATGATCCTAACTGACCTAAGACAGGGAAATGTTACTCTGATTAAATGTCAGGAATTGTGGAAAAACTGAGTTTAAATGTATTTGGCTAAGGTGTATGTAAACTTCCGACTTCAACTGTAGGTCGGGGCCAATCCACCACTGCTCTCACCTTTTCGGGATCCATCTGTACATTCCTCGCAGCGATGATGTAACCAAGGAAGGGGATGGTGGAGCGATGGAATTCGCATTTTTCCGCTTTCACAAAAAGCTGGTTCTCCAGGAGGCGCTGGAGGACCTGTCAGACATGGAGCACGTGTTCTTGGGCTGAGAGGGAGAAAACAAGGATGTCGTCGAGAAGAGACAAAGACAAACCAGTTCAACATGTCGCAGAGAATGTAATTAACCAGGGCCTGGAACACAGCTGGAGCGTTGGTAAGAACAAATGGCATGATCAGATGTTCGTATTGACCGCTGGCCGTGTTGAAAGCAGTCTTCCACTCGTCCCCTTCCCGTATCCGCTAGGTGGTAGACGTTCCGCATGTCCAACTTGGAGAAAACGGTGGCCCCCTGGAGCGGCTCGGAGGCTGAGGCGATGAGTGATAGCGGGTAGCGGTTCTTAACCGTGATGTCATTGAGGCTCCGGTAGTCGATGCACGGGCACAGGGTTTTGTCCTTCTTCTCCACAAAGAAGAACCTGCGCCGGCGGGGGAGGCAGAAGTCCGGATACACCTGCAGCCATGATGGCAGTCCAGTTGATGAGGGGATTGTGTCGCTGGAGCCAAGACAATCCCAATATCACGGGAACCTGAGGGGACTTAATAAGCAGGAATTGAATAACCTTGCTGTGGTTCCCTGACACTCGTAGGTTGATGGGAGTGATATTGTGGGTGACCCTGCCTATAGAGCGTCCGTCCAGCGCTCTAACGTCCATGGGAATGGAGAGGGGCTGAGTGAGATGTCCAGCTCGGAAGCCAGGGTAGCGTCCATAAAATGCTCATCGGCTCCTGAGTCAATGAGTACCCGCAGAGACTGGTTCCCCCACAGCAGAGTGGCATGGAGAGGGGTGCGGGGAGAGGGAAAGTTCTCCGTATGGCCCACCAGAGTACTCGCCCCTACCGGTGGGCCTGGTCTTTTAGTGGACAGGAGGACATGAAATGACCAGTAGTCCCACAATACAGACAACTCTTAGTGTTAAGCCTGCGTAAACGTTCGGCTGGAGACAACCTAGCTTTGCCTAGTCGGAAAGAGCCGAATCGGCAGACTTCGGAAACTCTCGGGGAAACTCCGGTAGCCTCGGATTCTCTCGGAGACAGAGATGTCGGGGACTTCCGGGATACCTCGGAGGTGAGGTGGAATCCTTGGGCGGGCGAGTGGAATCGGACCTCCTTTCCATCCTACGTTCCTGCAGCCGGCCATCGATCCAGATAGTCAAGGCGATAAACAAGTCGAGATCTGTAGGTAGTTCCCGGGCTGCTAGCTCGTGCTTAACTTCCTCCGATAACCCGCGCAGGAACGTGTTGAACAGCGATTCCGGGTTCCATGCACTCTCAGCCCCCAACGTGCGGAAATCCACCGTATAGTCTGTCACACTGCGGGAGTCTTGCCGAAGCTGGAGTAACTTCCGGACAGCCTAGTAACTCCCGGACAATTCAGAATCAAAAACCTTATTCACCTCGTCCACGAACTCCTCCAGACTGAAGCACATGGAAGACTGTTGTTCCCACACTGCCGTAGCCCAGGCGAGAGCCCTTCCGGACATCAGCGTGATGAGGTATGCTATCTTCGACCAGTCCAACGGGAAGGAGGAGGGCTGCAGCTCAAAGATGAGGGAACACTGAGCGAGAAATACCCGACAGGTTCCCAACTCTCCAGCAAAGCAGTTCCGGTAGAGGTAAGCAGGGTCTGAAAGGTACAGAAATGGCAGGCAGGCTCAGGGTCGGGGCAGGCAGAGGTCGGTAATCCAGAACAGTGTCACAAGGTACAGAACGGCCGGCAGGCTCAGGGTTAGGGCAGGCAGAATGGTCAAAACCGGAAAACAGGGACTAGAGCAAAACAGGAGTACGGGAAAACCGCGGGTAAGCTTGACGAGACGAACTGGCAACAGACAAACAGAGAACACTGGTATAAATACACAGGGGATAATGGGGACAAATGAGAGACACCTGGTGGGGGGTGGAGACAAGCACAAGACAGGTGAAACCGATCAGGGTGTGACAGCCGAGTGCATATTGATTAAGCAAATGTTAATTGCAGACCACCAACTTCACATCCCAGACTGAAAGCTAGCTTTTGATGAATGCATATCAAAATGCAATTGCAGAGCTCCTTAACATTGTCACAGCAAACAAAGACATTTGTATCTGTGGTTCACAGCTTTTAGTTTTTACTTTAAAGACAATGGGACAGAATTCAAAGTAATTCATACAGCCATTTTCCTCTAAGATACATTTTCATAAGGCAAAATGTGATATTATTTTGTTTTTAAAAAAGTCTGACAAATCAAATGCTATGAAAGCATTTGAATATACGGCAGAGTAAAATAATAATGTGCAATAACTATATTATTCTCGACTCTCAGTTGTCTTGGAGAAATCACAGTGGGGGATTTGTTTTTAAAATGCCATCCATTCTTGGTGTAAAAATAAAACAGTACTACATCATTCAGCCTTGTTGTTGCTGTGGTAAAAACAAGACTATGTCCCAAATGGTACCCTGTTCCCTATTTAGTGCATTACATGGGTCCTGGTCGAACGTATTGCACTATATAGGGAATAGGGTGCCATTTGGGACGCAATTCAAGCCTCCGTAAAAGCCCCAAAAAGAAGATCCCATCTCTTAGTTCGATGTAATCACAATGCAATCGTGGTTGTCTACTGCACCTCCATCCATGCCTAGAGCTGTTACAGTGACCGTATTACTGCCACACCGGCGGTCACGAGTCAAGACGGCAGTCAAATTCCACGTGACCATTTAGTCACGGTAATTAGGATTCTCCAAGCTCTGATGCTGCTGATGGTCATTAGTAGCATGCCACAGTTCAAAACACATCATTGTAACATTTCTTTAATGTAACATACTACTCATTTGCTGTTTGAATTGTAGGTGTCCTTGTAGTCAACGTAACATGGAGAAAAAGAACCTACGTGGGGACTCTTTTGGACTGTACCAAGCATGACTGGGCACCACCCAGGTAATATTGACGGGAGACAGTAAATATTCATAATTCTAAAAATAGTATATGATGACAATATGACTATGCTATTTTGCTGTTTCCAAGAAAGCTGTTGAGTAACTTGCCAATCATCTCGAACATGACAGTGGTGCTGGAGAATTGCCTTGTTACTGATAGGAACTCCTATGTGGAGATGCCTAAGCTTGAAGCCGAGGGTTTGATCGATAAGAAGGGAGTGTGTGATAAAGGGAAAAAGGCTAATGGGAAAGTTGAGAAGTGTTTTTCTCAATCTAGGACCAACAGGCCTATAGCTCCTGCTCCTGCTCCCCCAAAGCTGATTGCAATCCCCAGCACTGTGTTCTCAACTAACACAACAGAGGCCACTACCCAGTAGTCCCCCACATCAGCAGCTGTTAGTGTCACCACAACAAAGAACCTCTCACTTAAACCCATCAAGCCAAAATGTAATATTATGGTAGAGACAAGTCTGGTGAAAGCAACCCTAGTCACTTGCAAAGAGACCAGGAAAAAAGAAAAACAAAGATTAAAAGACAAACATAATGAAGACACAAGGACCTCTAATGGCGATAGCATTCAGCAAAAGATGGAAGAGGCAAAGATGTTGGAAAAGGAACCTTCTGGAAGCCTTCTGAAAGAACAGTTGAGCAAACAAGATGTTGTGAACGGTCTGAAAGAGTCTCAAGAGAGTAGAATGGCCAGCATCAGAGCCGAAGCTGACAAAGTGTACACGTTCACTGACAACGCTCCTAGTCCTTTCATAGGTAGCTCTTCAAGACTGGATTGTGGCTCCCTTGGAAGTGGAGATGGCACCACCACCAAGACTACCAGTCCTGCATACTCAGACATATCGGATGCAGGTGATGATGGGGTATCAGACTGCCGTTCAGGCACTCCTCCGGCTGCATCTATTCCTGCAGGGCCTGTCAAAGACCCCCAGTCTCCTTTTTACCACAGATATGACCACTACTATATCCAAAATTACATGCAGACAGGCCAGTCAAACACAGCTGCTTTCCATATGGCCTCCACCCCTCAAGACGGTAAATACAAAAAGGAGGACTCAAAGGATGGCAACGAGAGGAGAAACACCCCGGAATTCATCGATTTGAAGAAGACCGATGTCATCAACTCAAGTTCGCAGTCCCAGATTCAGATGGCTATGACACAAACACAAACAGCTCTATCCCAGTCCTTGTACTACGGCCAGTATGCCCGCGGTCTTTACATGAACTTTACATGAACTGTAGATGTACTTTTGGATAATGTTTTCAAGAAGACAGATGAGGGAGATAAGTTTTATTTTATTGGTCACATCCAAGATGGCCATACCACTAAAGGACGTACACCAATTTTAGCTGTAAATGTAAACATTTAACATAAGTACGTAAAAAACTTTTGAAAAGAAATGTTGGTTTTGATGTTAGTGTTGAATATGCATTTGATGGATTATCTTTCAATTCACAAATTGGGATTACTGGTATTCAATTAAATATCTTGCGAATCCCATCACAAACAACACTTTTCCTCATCGATTTAGCATGCAGAAGTTCAATTCTGGTCCCGCCTTAAGCAATCCAAATATGTGGAGCAGCAAAGTGAAGAACTTAGCCAGAGCTCAGAAGAGTTAAATGCTGAGTGGTCTAAAGAGTGAGAGATGCCCTCTGAGACAGTGACAAAGATGGGAGTAGAGTTTAAAAAGGCCCCGACTCAGGACGCCAGCACATCAGACATAGAGGACTGTGATAGGCTAGAGGAGTAGCAGCCAATGGGGGTCATGCCTGACGACTCACAGGGTGCCAGGGTGGCCGTATCACCACCGATGAGCCCCAAACAACAACCCTACATCCAGTACCTGCATTCCTACCAATACATACAGATGTGTGACCATTAACTCTTACATGGTCATGTCACATACCCTGGTGCATAACTACCCAGGTAAGTCTGTATGGTTTGAGAAATTATATGAATACAATGGCAATAGAAACCTTTGCCTTTTTGCGTCATCATATTATGTGTATTCAAGATTTGGGATTATATCATATGTTCAAGATTCATGCCAAGTTTGTGTCAAGGATCCCTATTTGGCCTGACATTGTGAATGAATGTATTGAAGGACTGTTTTGTACTGTACATGTTAGGTTTCCACTATCCTCTCTATGTGAAAACAGCAGACAGAGAGGAGTCCGATTTGTCTCCAAATATCCATAGTGTGAGCAGCAAGCCAGCCAGCGAGTCTACCACAGGAGGTTGGTGGCACCTTAATTGGGGAGGACGGGCTCATGGTAAAGGCTGGTGCGGAATAAGTGAAATGTTTTCAAATACTTCAAAACACATGGTTTCCATGAGTTTGATGCCATTCTACTCCATTCCAGTCATTATTATGAGCCGTCCTCCCCTCAGCAGCCTCCACTGGTACTGCCCTTGAGCTTCTTCAGCACCACAACCTGCCATATTGCAAATCCCCTGCGGTGAGTGTCCATCAAGTATAGGCAAAATCGAGGCAGAAAATGCAAAGCAACAGGAAATCCATGAAATTAACTTCAGACTAATTGCTTTATCAGTTTATGAGAGAAGTTAATTGAATTCAGTATATGTGAGATACTAGCCCTATTGCAAGTCTGATCTGTGACATGCTGATATAATGATGATATTAATGTGCAACATATAATCCAAAGACTTATATTTGAGTGAAAATCCCCCTTTTTGTTAATAGCCTGGTGAGAAAGGATCCCCTGAAGGAGAGAGAGAGACAGACAGGGAGAGGACCAATGTTCCCTTTGCCAGGCACCTTCACACACATCACCATATACATCTTGGTATGAGCTACCCACTCATGTCTGGGTAGTACAATATTTTCCCTAGGTAAACAAAACCTTTCCTGAAATATTAAAATGTAATGTGAACATTTTATATAATGTGAAAATATAATATATTTCATTTCTACAAAGGAAAAGTCAGTGATTGTGAGGAAGGCATGCTCATCATGTCCATCATATTTCATGATCTTTACCTATACTAAATCACAATAGTAAATTAGGTATAGCTAGAACTCTTGTCTCTCTTTTGAAGGTTTAAGCTTTACAGCTCTGGTTTCCAGCCAGCAGGTGTTGGCACACTCATATTCAATTAGTATGTTCTCTTGGTTGGCCAATCCACACCCTCTGTATGATAGGCCTATTGTTTGATCCTTTTGACAAAAGAGAAAAAGATCAGTACTGAATAATGATGTGAGGTAGATGTATCTGGTTGCATTCAATTCTCTTCATTGTGAGAGGTAGTTATTGTGTATGAAATCATTCTGAAATCAACCAAGATGTTTATCTCTGCTTCTACAGATAATGAAGGGAAGACCTAAAACCATGTGACTGGCTCACATGAGGATAAGAAGATTTACAGACATCAATTCCATGGTGTTCTTCATTGCCTCCATGGGAGGCAGAGTACCAATTTCATTTGCGATTTAATACATATTTTATAAGAGTCACAGAGCAGTGGTACTGGAATATTGGTGGAGATACAGTGGGAAAAAAAAGTATTTAGTCAGCCACCAATTGTGCAAGTTCTCCCACTTAAAAAGATGAGAGAGGCCTGTAATTTTCATCATAGGTACACGTCAACTATGACAGACAAAATTAGAAAAACAAATCCAGAAAATCACATTGTAGGATTTTTAATGAATTTATTTGCAAATTATGGTGGAAAATAAGTATTTGGTCAATAACACAAGTTTCTCAATACTTTGTTATATACCTTTGTTGGCAATGACACAGGTCAAACGTTTTCTGTAAGTCTTCACAAGGTTTTCACACACTGTTGCTGGTATTTTGGCCCATTCCTCCATGCAGATCTCCTCTAGAGCAGTGATGTTTTGGGGCTGTCGCTGGGCAACACAGACTTTCAACTCCCTCCAAAGATTTTCTATGGGGTTGAGATCTGGAGACTGGCTAGGCCATTCCAGGACCTTGAAATGCTTCTTACGAAGCCACTCCTTCGTTGCCCGGGCGGTGTGTTTGGGATCATTGTCATGCTGAAAGACCCAGCCACGTTTCATCTTCAATGCCCTTGCTGATGGAAGGAGGTTTTCACTCAAAATCTCACAATACATGGCCCCATTCATTCTTTCCTTTACACGGATCAGTCGTCCTGGTCCCTTTGCAGAAAAACAGCCCCAAAGCATGATGTTTCCACCCCCATGCTTCACAGTAGGTATGGTGTTCTTTGGATGCAACTCAGCATTCTTTGTCCTCCAAACACGACGAGTTGAGTTTTTACCAAAAAGTTATATTTTGGTTTCATCTGACCATATGACATTCTCCCAATCCTCTTCTGGATCATCCAAATGCACTCTAGCAAACTTCAGACGGGCCTGGACATGTACTGGCTTAAGCAGGGGGACACGTCTTGCACTGCAGGATTTGAGTCCCTGGCGGCGTAGTGTGTTACTGATGGTAGGCTTTGTTGCTTTGGTCCCAGCTCTCTGCAGGTCATTCACTAGGTCCCCCCATGTGGTTCTGGGATTTTTGCTCACCGTTCTTGTGATAATTTTGACCCCACGGGGTGAGATCTTGCGTGGAGCCCCAGATCGAGGGAGATTATCAGTGGTCTTTTATGTCTTCCATTTCCTAATAATTGCTCCCACAGTTGATTTATTCAAACCAAGCTGCTTACCTATTGCAGATTCAGTCTTCCCAGCCTGGTGCAGGTCTACCATTTTGTTTCTGGTGTCCTTTGACAGCTCTTTGGTCTTGGCCATAGTGGAGTTTGGAGTGTGACTGTTTGAGGATGTGGACAGGTGTCTTTTATACTGATAACAAGTTCAAACAGGTGCCATTAATACAGGTAACGAGTGGAGGACAGAGGAGCCTCTTAAAGAAGAAGTTACAGGTCTGTGAGAGCCAGAAATCTTGCTTGTTTGTAGGTGACCAAATACTTATTTTCCACCATAATTTGCAAATAAATTCATAAAAAATCCTACAATGTGATTTTCCGGATTTTTTTTTTCAATTTGTCTGTCATAATTTATGTGTACCTATGATGAAAATTACAGGCCTCTCTCATCTTTTTAAGTGGGAGAACTTGCACAATTGGTGGCTGACTAAATACTTTTTTTCCCCACTGTATGTATCAAGTAAAAAGTATTTTAAGTATTTTGTATTTGGATGCCTGTCTGAAAACACATGTGAGTAAAGCTATAGTGCCATAGAATCAGTCATAAATGGCCATGCTACAACGTTTATATGCACATGTATTGTAGTGTTAGCTTATGGTTGAATGTACTGAAATGTGCAATATCCCCAATGTTTTTTTCCATTGGGAAACTCAGTAGAAGTGCGAGGGTCTATAAAGCGGTCCTCCCAGTATTACTTAATTACATTTGTATACGGTACTTGGCTGTAGCCACTTCATTGTCTTATGTGAGAGTATGATTGTGTGATTGTGTGACTGTGTCATTTGCAGGGCAGAGGTTTATGAGAGAGCTCCTCACTCTGCCACTGCTTACTGGAGACTGAGCTCAGAAACAGAAATGGGGGAACCACCAGGTAAGGCATGTGATTGGCTGACCCCATGGGTAACCCTGGCAACCTGGTCCTTAACACAGCGGTGTGAAGTGCCCTGTGCCACTGGACAATGAGTCAGGCTGAGGCGGTGGATGGTAGCCTACCTCAGTAGTAAAAGGCTACATTTACATTATTTAGCAGACGCTCTTATCCAGAGCGACTTACAGGAGCAATTAGGGTTACGTGCCTTGCTCAAAGGCACATCGGCAGATTTTTCACCTAGTTGGCTCGGGGATTCGAACCAGCGACATTTTTGTTACTGGCACAACGCTCTTTTTATTATAATATTTTAACCTTTATTTAACTAGGTAAGTCATTAAAGAACAAATTCTTATTTACATTGACGGCCTACTTGTAAAGCCCCCCTGGCCAAACCCTCCTCTAACCCGGACGACGCTGGGCCAATTGTGGGGTCAATTCCCACGGGGGGCCAGTATAAAATATATATATATATATATATATATATATATATATATATATATATATATATATATATATATGTATTCACTAACTGTAAGTCGCTCTGGATAAGAGCGTCTGCTAAATGACTAAAATGTAAATGTAAATGTAAGACACTACACCACCACTTCCACCTCACTAGGGAGAACCCTTTCCTGGGAACCACCATCTAGTTTGGCAAAGAATGCTTCTTCTTGTGAAACATCACAGTAGTTGAAAAATATATGGCAAATAGAAATCCAATATGTGGATAGGTGTTAAGAGATAGATGGGAGGTGTTGAATGGAGCTGAAGGATGGCGACAGTGAAATGCGGTAGGCGAAGTCATACGCAGGACACGGACGGAGCTACTGGAAACCGTACTTTTAATAAAAGTCGCCAGTGAAATATACAATACAACATAATGGGGAACAGCATAATCGGTGGCAGCTAGTACTCCGGGGACGACGAACGCCGAAGCCTGCCCGAGCAGGGAGGAGGAGCAGCCTCGGCTGAATCCGTGACATAACTAACAACAACTAATAACAACAAGATCACTAATGTAAAGCATACTGTGTCCATACTAAGTATATAGGTTATAGGTTGAGAGCTTTTGTGAAAGAGCACAGTTAGAAAGATATGGCATGTAGAGGCAGACAGGATGGAAATCATGAAGATGATCGGAGGGGTTGAGGGTAGAGGAAGTTCATGAGTAAAACCAAACAAAATATAATTATTGTAAAATTGACTATGTCCATAAAATGTATATAGCATGTACAGTTGAAGTCGGAAGTTTACATATACCTTAGCCAAATACATTTAAACTCAGTTTTTCACAATTCCTGACATTTAATCCTAGTAAAAATTCCCTGTCTTAGGTCAGTTAGGATCAACACTTTATTTTAAGAATGTGAAATGTCAGAATAATAGTAGAGAGAATTATTTATGTCAGCTTTTATTTCTTTCATCACATTCCCAGTGGGTCAGAAGTTTACATACACTCAATTAGTATTTGGTAGCATTGCCTTTAAATTGTTTAACTTGGGTCAAACGTTTCGGGTAGTCTTCCACAAGCTTCCCACAATAAGTTGGTTGAATTTTGGCCCATTCCTCCTTACTGAGCTGGTGTATCTGAGTCTGGTTTGTAGGCCTCCTTGCTCATACACGCATTTTCAGTTCTGCCCACAAATTTTCTATAGGATTGAGGTCAGGGCTTTGTGATGGCCACTCCAATACCTTGACTGTGTTGTCCTTAAGCCATTTTGCCACAACTTTGGAAGTATGCTTGGGGTCATTGTCCATTTGGAAGACCCATTTGCGACCAAGCTTTAACTACCTGACTGATGTCTTGAGATGTTGCTTCAATATATCCACATCATTTTCCTTCCTCATGATGCCATCTATTTTGTGACGTGCACCAGTACCTCCTGCAGCAAAGCACCCCCACAGCATGATGCTGCCACCCCCGTGCTTCACGGTTGGGATGGTGTTCTTCAGCTTGCAAGCCTTCCCCCTTTTTCCTCCAAACATAACGATGGTCATTAAGGCCAAACAGTTCTATTTTTGTTTCATCAGACCAGAGGACATTTCTCCAAAAAGTACGATCTTTGTCCCCATGTGCAGTTGCAAACCGTAGTCTGGCTTTTTTATGGCGGTTTTGGAGCAGTGGCTTCTTCCTTGCTAAGCGGCCTTTCAGGTTATGTTGATATAGGACTCGTTTAACTTTTCGCACCAAAGTATGTTAATCTCTAGGAGACAGAACGCATCTCCTTCCTGAGCGGTATGGCGGCTGCGTGGTCCCATGGTGTTTATGCTTGCGT